TATATATATATAACAATATAAATCAAGCATGGGTAGGGTCCAGCCCATTTTTTCAGTAATTAGAATGAGAAATGTGCCCCCTCTTCCCAATTTTAACTAGCTAATTCAGAAATAAATATGTCATGATATAGAAGTGGAGAAAAATAAGTTTGTCTAAACCTCAGCTAACCTCTCATAAATTGGTTATTTGGGAGATAAAATGAAGGTAACCCACGCACACAAACACACACATATGCTATCTTTTACTCTAGCAAGCAAGATAGAAATCTAAACAAATGCATGTGTGTGTGTATACATAAATCTACCTCATGTCATTAGTGATTGTTGTGAGAAAAATTGCACACTTCCACATTGTACTGTTCACTTAATCATTTATGCATGCAACACAGGTTCTTATTTTCATAAAATATGTTGATCTTTAATGAAAGATGTCTTTGGGAGGTCCTTTGAATAGGCACTGACAGATTCCATTTCTCATTCTTTGAAGGATTGTCCTGGGTGGTGGGGGATGCTCAAGATCTGCCCTTCGATGATGACAAGTTTGATTTTTATACAATTGCTTTTGGTATCCGTAATGTCACTCATATGGAGCAGGTGAGTGTGTGGTTCTGTTGGGGAGAGGCTGCGAGATTTATATTTGCCTTTTTTCCTGTCATTCAAAGTGGTGCTCCACTCCTGCACCTCCTAGTCCCACCTCACCCACCTTGTATAATAATCTGGTCAGGTAGTTGGAAAGAAAGGTTGGTCTGAAGTCAGCCAGCAAGTGGCCATTTGCACCAGAATCATCATCTCCCTAACAGTTACGCCACTTAAACCTTTTGTATCCTCTTCATTGCTCCAACCTGGTGGTCTTTCTTATACGGTCTTTCAGTGATGAATCTTGGAAAGTTTTCAAAAGTTTCAAGTGATTAATTGGCCATTGTTTATTCTAGATGTAACCTCCTCCCCCTCCTCCTCTGGATCCCTTTTAGTCCGGATTCAGGCCTGGCTACAGCACGGAAACCACTTTGGTCACACTGACCGATGATCTCTGGAGAGCCAGG